CCCCAAAACCCCAAAACCCCAAAACCCCGATAGTATTTTGATAATAAATCAATGCAGGGTAAAATTTATTATTAATTTCAATTTGGAAAAATATGAGTTAATTAAGCTCGACATAACTAATTCGTGTTTTGGTTTTCATTAGTATTCTTTTCATTACCTCTACTAATGGTTTGTACTTCTTTATGAAAAAAGGAGAAATGAAGTGTTTTGTTGGAGATCTTATTTAGAATCATGTAATAAAATTATCTTGTGATTTATTTTACCTTTAGACTATCAAGTTGGGTGTCAATATATTGGATAAATAAGTACTAGAATATCTCAAGTAGAATTAGGCCTCTGAAAAGATTTCATTTTCATGGTATAATCCATCAGGTTATGGTAACATGTAAAAGCAGGTTTCAATAGATGAAAAATTTGAGATAACTATCATTGAAAGTAAAGAGTTTTTAATGTTGATTATGTTATAGATGGTGAACATTAAGGATGCATGATGCTTCCAGATGGTGCATTTGATGTGAATAGTTATCACTAGGTTAAGACTGAGATCCTTTCATTTATTGAGTAGAGAATCGAATAAAAGGATAATAAGACTAATCAAGCATAATCTACGAAATAGCAGGAAGATAAAAATGAAGCTCCAATGCATGGAGCAGTAAATGCTGCAACAACTGGGCATTTCTAGCTCCTAAGAAGAAGAGTGTACAAAATTAAGCAAGTCCTCGAAGAGATCATTGATCGCTAGAACGTTGAAAGAGAGAAAGAGGAAAGCTATAAAGAAAACCTCAAATCATTTAGCTCGGCTTTCTTTAGATTAGTTATGGGTTAGATCCTTGTGCTGATAGGCTGCGGCATATATGCCGTTTTCAGTTTGAAACAGTTCTTCCTTAAAAAGCACATCCTCTGATTGGAGAACGAATGAATAAATATTGTTTAGATTCAAATTATTTAACTTTTCCTACAATTTGACATGACGGGGTTTTGGGGTTTTGGGGTTTTGGGGTTTTGGGG